GCCATTATTTTTAGCAAGCAGCCTCATTGATCTATTAAAGTAATCAGAGCCCGTAAAGTACAACAGTGAACATGCCCATTCATTGTAAGGCACCACAATGATGTCCAAGCGCCTGTGTTTTGTGTTTTCACCAAGAAGTTTGCAAACACCAAGATATTTTCTATGTTCGCCATTTTCAGCAAATGTAAGATCATCTGTCAGAAATCCTGAGGATTTCAGGCTATCAAGCAGTTTTGTCATGACACCCTCATGTGATTTTCCATCTGGGTGAGATACGATGACATCAACATCGCCACAAGTTGGTTTTCCTCTGCGGTAAGATCCACAAGCAAAAGCTTCCAGTCCTGGGTTTATTTCTAATGCTGCATTCTTGACGACTTCCTCAATCTGTCCAGCTTCTTCTCGTGGCATCCTCTCAAGAAACTCATCATAATATTTCAAGCCAATTTCCTGTTGACGCGTCAACTTCCCATGATTTTTCAGATCTTCCAAAGTTTTCAGTCCTTGAGACACCCAAGCCTCTGCAGTTGTAGGTCCAGCACCCCAAACACCAACAAACAAGTTAATGGCCTCTTGGTTGGGATCCACATGATCAAGTCTCCGCAAATGCCCAGTCTCAACAATTTCCCAGATCTTCTTAGCAAGCCGCTCTCCGACAAATGGAAGGCTGCTACATTCCTCCCACGTCTCAAGTTTCTTATGGTAATTCTTGACTGACACAATGGCTTTCTTATATCCCAAGGCTCTCCATTGATCCTTGCTGTTGGCATAAGAAGTCGCCAGGATTTGCAACTTTTCTGTAATAAACTGATTATGGTTTTGTTGGTTAGATGTGGAAGCCTGAGCACAAACTAAATTTTTTGAAAGCTTTTCTGGTGAAACATTGGGCGTAATAACTGGTGATTTCCCAGACTTGCTTCCTTCATCTCCACTGTCTGCATAATCACTGTCATCATCAGCAGATGTGACTTGAGTCTTTAATGAAGCCTTTTTACTTGGAGATCCTTGAACTGCAGACTTTATTTCATGCGTTGTTCCGGTTTCTACATCAAGTTTAGACCCGGAAGGTCCTAAGTCACCAGCCACCAGCTCTGAGGTCTGTTCCACTTTGAAAGTTTCATTACTTGACAGGTTTTGGGTGGATTTGATCTTACTATCATGGCAAACTTTGCCCAAGATGTAATGTTCTATTTCTACGAGATTTCCCTCAGAAAGACAGTTGCTCAACCAGTCAGAATCCACAACCTTGACTTCATCAGGAATATCTTTCACCCCTAAATACTTTTTCACTCTCTCTAGTTTCATTTTCTTGTCGACTATCACGTGTGTGGTGGCACTATCCAAATTTTTGATGTGTTTTCCGCCATGCCTTTCAAGTTGTTTGGCCAAAATGGCAGTTCTAGTCTTTCCAAGACCAACATCCACAATCACGGCGCTAATCCCCGAAAAATCAGGGCTAAACTTCCGTTTCTTCTCTGGTTGATTACCCAGAGAACTGTCATCATTTCGCGTTTTAGACATTAGTTCACGAGCGCCTCATCGATCATGAACGGCAAGTCCACTAAAGAGAAAAACGCTGACAACGCTAGAATACCATGAAGGTTTATGAAGGTCGCCATATTGTTTACCCAGTCCCCAGGCGTCCCTCGCTTGTCGACGTCCTGGACGTCATAAAATCCGGACGTTTTTTGTTTACCTCTGGGAAAATTTTTTCGGGCCGGAGCACTGACAGAAAGAAAACAGTAAGTTTCGGTTGCCATTTTTGACGGCCGACAACGGTGACGCCTATGCATGAAAACGTAGCTGAAAAATACAAAGTCACTCAGTTACTCAAAGTAGGCCCGGGGGAGGGGCGGGGGGACTTCCTTATTTGGCCTATAAGGGTATGTGCTATGTGCCGCTGAACAGGGTGTGGTTTTCAAGGTCTTGAGTCTTCAGAATATACAATTTCACCATTAAGCGTCTTGAAAAGGGTGTCTTTTTGCACTGGAAGCCTTTTAGCGAGTGTGTGTCTCCTGTCTTAAACAGGGTACGAAATGAGCAATTTTTGTGTTAACCAGGGTCGGGGTTTGAAGGTCTCGGCGGCACAGCTCTACCCAGACTTCCTTTGAGTGCCCCCCCCGGAAAGTAAGGAAGTTTGGTGGGAACTGAAGAGAGGGGACTGCGTCCCAGTTCAGAGAGTGAAAATTTATCACCTTGCCGTTTTGGTTCTCAACAGTTTTAGCCTGTGTGGCAGGTGCAAAAAGGAGAGGGGGAGGGGGAGGGCGAGGGGAAGGGGACAAAAGCGCGAAAGGGAAAAGGGAGTCCCTTAACAAGCCTCTCTCCGCAACCCCCTCCCTTTTTCCCTTTCTCCCGATACCCCAGCCTATCAAGTCGAGACATTAAAATTCAACATAATGGCGAGTCTTACAGGACACAAACAGAGGAAATGGGGTTAGTGTAAATTGCAGATTTTGGTCTTACTTGAAAAACTGAAATTTTTAACTATACAGGTATCGCTTAGGCATGCTTAGGACTCAATTTCAACATCTCTTAATCTGCGCATTTCAAATCACCATAGCACTTGGTTGGTAAACGGTTGCCGTTTATAGTATAGTCTCTATTTTAAAAGAATTCGAAGATTATCCCCTTGCCTAAAACGAAAACCTCCATCTCTCTTGACGGAAATCAATCCCCCCCCCCTCCCCCAAGTAAGGAGAACGAGTGGGGGGTGTCAGGAACACGGCCCTCAAGGTTTTTGCTTTTCAGTTGCCTTTGTATATCTTTTGTTGCAATTTTGAATTATGTATTTCTTAAATTTTCTTATTGTCTAGAGGCATGTTGGAGTAAATCAATACAAATTACACAATGACGTCATTACCTCTTATTTTTTGAACACTTTACTGAAAGTCAAGTCTTATATCTCCTAGGCTTTTAACAGAACGAAATAAAATACTCTAACAAAACATATTTTACTAAGAACTTTACAAACATCAGAAACCTCGAGTATTAAATAAAAATATGTGACATCCATGAGTGTAACTTTATTACAAATGATGAAAATTTGCCATGGATATAAATCAAGTTAAAAAGAACCCAAAAGCTTTTTTTAAAAAAATTGGCACTAATCATTACATAAGAATCTCGACCGTAAGATTTCATGGATAGAAATCTTCATTTAACCTAAACTTTCAGTTAACAACTCAACATGTTTTTCATTTTGTTTCCCATTCCACCAAAATTTCAGAAAGCGAATAGACCGAGGAATTTGCAGGAAATTCTCCCAAAAATCCGACGACGTGAAACTTTGAAAGCGAACACTCAACATTCACTAACAAAATGACATGGAAAATGTCGGGAAAATTGCGAAAATTTAGTTTATACCTAGTGACGTTGTCCACATTAAGAAACATTCCAAAACGGAGCACAATTCACTTTTGATTGGCCAAAAAAGTGCAATAATGCAAGAGAATGAAAAGCTAGCACATTTCCGTGTTGCTTTAATCCTCTTTATCGAAGCTGGAACTGTTCAGTTGCACAACAATTAAAGGAGTTTCATTTGCCTGTGAATAAAAAATTACCTATATATGAGAGAATTTCGAAAAGAGGCTAATTGTCATTCGGGGAAATGGCCTCTCTTATTTACAAAACAATCTAATATTCACTGTTACGTTAATTTGACTCTTGTAATATCTTTGTCTGTGAAGATAAAAATTTGTTACATAAATGTAGTGGTATAAAATATAAATCTGTTTTCAATTGTACCATAAAAACTTCTAATATACATAAAGTTATAGCTTCTATACAATATCATTATATATTTTAAGTAACCTTCATGATACGATAAGTAAAAATCTAAACGCTTTAGAGGCGTTTCTAATCAGAGCTCTCAACAATTACATTTGGGACTTCACATTCTAAAACGAGTAGGACTACGACAACAAGATTTTCTCAATAGTAAGTACCGTGCGTGAACCAGTGTCATTATGGCGGGAAAACAAGATAGCCGTCCGGGGGCCTGGTTCTCAAAAGTCGCGGTAACTTTTCGGGCCCGGAAAGCTGTTTTGTGTTTGTGTTTGCATTCAAGATCAAAGTTTTAATAAGTTTGAAAATAATTCAATGAGACTATACGTTAACGAAGCAAAATTGACTAGTTTGTGGGCTAGGAACTGTGCTTCTATTCAACAGGTATTGATTTTTAAATTTGTCTTCGGGCCTGAAAAGTTCCCAGGTCTTTCGAGAAACGAGCCCCGGGTCGTCATTCTAATACAGGTTTGACCGAAAACGTCGTAGTAGCAGAAACAAGTTATCAAATCATTCAAATCATGCCGTGTTGTCATTTTGCGATCGTGAGAGGGCTGAACCCCCTTCAATAAAAATAACCGTGTTAACTTGTCTGTTAAAAAAAAAAAGTAAAATGAAACTTTTTGAGAATACACGAAAAAAACTTTTACGTCAAATCTCGTCATCGCAGTCGTCCTCGCATTCGAATCTAAAGGTCTCTCTTAGGTCTCTGTGGTCCATCGTCATCTGTCAGGATCATCAAGCTTGAAAATTCTTACCACGGATCTATCTATGGGCAAATAACTAATAGGGAAAAATAATTAGTATGTTCCTTCTGCATATGGGATGCATAACAATCGATTGCATGTAAGCGTGTTGATGCCGTGACGAAAAAACATGTTCTAATTGGGGGCAAACAAGACACGTTGTGAACCGTTTTGCTGCCACCATTTGAAGTTTGTCGTCGGGTTATACGAATGTTCAAGAGCAAATGAGGTGACTGGATGTACTATATTGAATCGCATAACAGGATATTGCAATTTAGAAATAACTCAAACGGTTTACACCTTTCCACTTTTCAAGCTATGGAAAGTATATTTGTCGTTTGAGTGCAGAATTCTTAAAAGACTCTGGACGTGGGTCAAGAAGAATGTTAATGAGAAAAATGTTTAACCGAGCTTATTGTGTAAGTGGCAAGTCAAAGTGCCCCGTATCTCAATAATGAAGACTTACCTCATGTCTTGAGGAGTCAGAAAAATGAATTGTCGATGTTTCTCCTCTGGTAACGCCGCTAGCTCCAACACCATTTTCATTATAACCTTTCTGTTATAAAGATCCTGCAAATCACCAAAGCTAAGGTTAGATTGCTGCGTGTATTGACGACAGTGAATGCTTTGTTAGGAGTGGGTTTCCAGTGCTAAGTTCTTAAAATGGAAATAAAAGTCCCCGGATGTTACCCGTGTTCAAAGGAAAGCATGGCGGGTTGGCTCTTGTTTATCTCTGTTGAATCAGAATTTTTTTCCTGCATCATGGGTACCCAACGTAATCCAAAATGCGTCAGGTGAATATTGACTAGACAAGAGCCTATACTTCGTTTGATAGTGTATGAAATATGTTTTGTGTTAGTTTTTACCCTGGGCATCTTGAAACCGGTTAAGATGTATTTTTTCACATACCATAAAAACATCAAACTCGTCAAGGCATCTGAATGGAGACTCCATAGTACCCCAAAGGGCAGTCAGAAAACATATGGTCGAGACAGATCTTTCCCCGCCTGACAAAGACTTCATCACTCTTGTGCTCTCGTCCACGCCTCCATGAACGTGATTTGGACCTTTGTGCACATTAACCTGGCAAAGAAAAATAAAAGAATTATAATAACCTGTCAGCTTTCCGTTTCTTCAAAAGAACCGTCGACGGCGACCTCAGATAGAACGTCAAAAAGGCAATATGTTTAACACGCAACACAGCAACTCTGCGCGTACAGCACACTTTCTGTAAATTTCTTTGCCGTCGCCGAACGACTACGACGTGAAAATGACTAGATTGGAGGACGTAAACGAGCCAAAGCCAAATTTTCTTTCTTTTCCTCAACTTGGATACAGTTCTTAGGAATTTAACTCAAAGGAGAGTTCGCCTACATTTGACAAAATAAGTGAATTGGAATAATCGCGATGAAGATTTAAAAACGCAAATTCACTTTTTAAGCAACGTTTTCGCTACCGTCGCCGTCCTCAGATCTCAAGGTCCCTTTTGTCTCAAATAATACCTAGAAATCAACTTTGGCTGTTGCGTTTCCCTGATTTTTGTTCTGACTTACAAAATAAACAAAATCAACCATATAGTAACAAATCAGGGCCCCTTTTTTCGCAAAGCTATTATTTCTTGCACCAGTAATGTTATAATCTGCAACAGTCAACCATCTACCTTTTAATCTGTATCATGCTAGAGATATTGCAAACTAGTATTAAAAACCGCCTCAGAAATACGGCAGGACTAGCCTGTGAGCAGGCTCACTCGTGCGAATTCGGGGAAAATTATTTTGGCGGCGGAGCCAGCGTCATCCATCCATCCTCGGCCCACTGGCGGCGCTGCCAAAATTTTCCCCCGAACTCGCACAAGTTGCCCCGCCGGCAGGCTAAGGCAGGACTAGCTCAGTTGGTAGAGCTCTTAACTGCAGAGATGGTGGCGCCGTCTCCAGTAGAAGACGTAAATTAGTGTCCTCAATGAAGGCTTGATTACAGCGGGAAAAGAGAATGCGTTCGATTGGGAAATCTGGATTTACATTTTCAATCCCGATTTCGGATTTTGCAATAAAACGCGAAATCCGGCGAAAAACGGACTTCAACAACGAGAAATGTGTTCTCTAGGTGGATTTCAGTTAAGAAATTCCAGTCCAGGTTTCACGTATTTCCTTCTTTACCGTTTCGTCGGTAAATCCAAAAAAAGGATTTACAACGCTGCTCTCGTGAACAGTGTCCTCTTTGGGTAATTATACGTGCGCGTGCAAGACCGATGTTCTTGAGAACAGTTTTCAAAACTTTTTTAGGATTTCCGGCCAAAAAACTGAAAGAAAGGAAAACCAGGGACAGATTTCTCGGCGTTAAAATCCGTTTTCGGATGTGGCGATTTTTTGCACATTTGAAATCCGGATTTTAAAATCGGAAATCCAGATTTTGCAATCGAACGCACCCAGAGACAATTTTCCTCCGACATGTTGTTCCTAATTTCACACCGCACGATAGGTTCGTTATACTTACTATGAGTTCCAGAGTCTCATCATTGTGATCAAAGGATACATATCCACTAAAACCTCGTTGGCTCAAATGTCGAGTAAAGAACTGAGAAGTATGTGAAGCTAATATTTTTCTTTTCTCTTTAAGATATTTCATCCTCTTTTCCATTTGATTTTTTAAACACTAGAAGAAAAAAAACATCAACAATTCTTAAATGGTTTGATAATACGTTCAAGTTGTTCTCTTTGCGCCCGTTTTTACCAAGTCCGGATAACGTTTGGGAGAGAAGCCCGTGAGGCCAGGTATTGTACGTTAAACTTTCAGTAAAGGTTCACCTTTGGATGGTTCTGAGACGTACAGTGGTTTTTAAAATATTGGATGCGCATTTGACATCTTTTGGTAACGGCTCCAAAAAGTTCCACTTATGCTTACCTTATGTAATTTCTGTATATTCTTCGTGTTCTTTACGATCTCTGAATATCGGTCACAAATTTCTATAAATTCTTTCGTAATCTTCTCCGCACTTCCACGACTGCAAATGTATAAAACAAAAGAAATCAATAGAGAGTAGAAGTATGACGTCACGTTACCATGGTACCAAAATTTCTGGACCACAACAATAGGGAACTTAAGCAAAGACGATGGCGACGGCAACGAGAATGGCAAAAAAGTAATAGGTTTAGATTAGCAAAAACAATAATTTTGCACGTGCATCACGCTTTTTTGTACATTTCTTAGCCGTCGTTGCACGACTGCGACATCAAACTTCTAATTTCACGCGCCCCTTTATGGAGTAGATGAACACAAATTCGATGCGAACACAAATTAGATACGATCCTTTCGGATTCAACCCCAGAAAATTTTGCCAACATTTCAGAAATTAAAAGAAATTGAATAAGATCGATGAATTTTGAAATAGTGTGAATTCACTTTTTAAGTGACGTTTTTGTTCGTTGTCATCCAGAAATTTAACTACCATGGCAACATGACGTAACGACTTCTCCTCTCTATTCTGGCTCGTTTTCACATGTAGCCACTGTCAAGCGCGGGAAAATATGTAACCGCTACAAATACATCGAAGGAGGGACAAACGTAACCGCTGCCAAGGGCGGAAAATATGTACCCGCTACACACAGAGCCAAAGAGTGAAAGTAGGCAAGTTTGAACATTAGTTACCCTAGATCCAAACAGACTAAGAACACTGAAACAAACAAAATATACAGCCATAAAGAGACTGTCCATGCGTGATAACATCCAAGGCACAGTGGCAAGAAACTACACCGATGGCGTCACACTACCTTATTAATTCTGTCCTGGGTCGCCGCGTGTTAAATTTTCAAATTATTGTTGGATTCACCTTTTGCCCCAAAAGCCCTCCGCCAATCAGAGCAGTGAAGAATTTGTCGAGTGGGATCAGAGAGGTCTCAAGCGAAGAGAGTTTAATTGGTTGAATACCGTTAACCCTTTAAGCCCTAATATCCACATACAAATGCTCCAGTCTTATTTCCATACACTTCCTTAAAAAAAGTTGAGAGAATTTGTTTTAGGATCAAAATTTTGGTTTCCCTTGTCATTTCATTGGTTCTCATAACCTTTTCTCTCTATTATGTATTGACGTTGGTCACTCCTGGGACGCTTGTTCTGCACTTTTAACCCTTTATGTCCCAGGAGTGACCAACATCAATTTTCTCCCAACAACATCTATACATAATAGAGTTAAAACTGCCACTTCGCGAAAACGAAAAAAGAAAAATCTTAAACACTTACGCACTGTTACTCTCCAGGGTCATTCCTTAAATCAGCCTAACCATTTTTACCCAAAGGGTGGAAGACCTATTCTCGGCTTAGCCAACTGAATTACTTACTTTCGTTCCTCCTCCTCGATATATTTCTGCTTTTTTAAAATTTCTGTTTCGAGGTCTGTCACACTTCTGGTAGTTTCCACTCTTGGAAAATGTTTACTTGCCACGTCAGCTTTTTGCTGAAAAGTTGGAAATGAACAAATATTCAATGAATTACATCTTGAATGTTAATTACAGTAACTTCCCATAGATTGCAATAGTCTGACAAGGGAGCGTTCGGGTTCATACGAGGATTGTAAATGACAAAAACCACAACGTAACTTAAAGGGGCTGTGTCACGGCAGTCCAGTTCATTTTGTTTAATTTTGCCAATTACTCGCCCTCAATCGCTATGGAACTTAAAGTAAGCAAAGAAATTACATGTAAATGACAAAGTCAGAGATTCGAGGCAAACAAATATGTCTCCTGAGCATTATTTTTGAAGCTGTAAACAGCAGAGATAAACTTTTAAAAACTGTTAGGCTGAACAGTTTTCAAAAACCCTAATTTTAATCCGATTCGATCTTCTTCAGTTTTGCCCATCCATGGCATCTCTTGTATCTGTTGTGTTTTTTTAACCTTCCTTTAATGTTTTAAGCGGTTATTTTTATGTGTCTCTTGGATTTAACGGCCATTTTGTAATTACCTAATTTGGCTGAATTTCGTGACACAGCTCCTTTAATCTAAATTAAAATGCATAGAAACGAACTCTGGCAATGTCAACACTTTAACGGACTGCTGGTTTGCACGTGACGTCAGGGCGGCCACGTTGGTGGTCAAGAACAAAAGCTTTTCTCTCCTTTGGTTTAGGCCATAGCATGAATATTTTTTAGGATTAATTGGCATGCAAGAATGTTTTTCACTTAATTTTCCCCTGCGCGAATACTTTTTTTGTACTTCGCCTGCGCCCGCCCCCCTCCCCCCCACCCTCAATAAGTTTTCTAATGGTCCGTCTCTAAACTCTAATTTCGAGAAAGAATTCTATTGTATTGAACACCAACATGGCCACCTTGTCACGTGATTGCAAACCAAGAATAGGCACGAAAAGCTATCAGATACAGTATGAACAGCAACGGCCCAGGGACCCGTTTCACGAAAGTCCCGATAAATTTTCGGGCCCGAAAAGCTGTTTTATGTTTGCCGTATTTACATTCAAGATCAAAGTTTCAAAAATTTTGAAAATGATACGATGAAAGTATCAGTTAACAAAGCAAAATTGAACGGTTTGTGAGCTAGGAACTGTGCTACTATTCAACAGGTTTTGATTTCAAAATTTGCTTTCGGACCCGAAAAAAAAAACGCCTGATCGCAGGTTAGTATCACACTCTACCGAGCTTGTACGTCGTGTTTGGCTTGTCAACACATTGACTTCAACACCGTCGATTGGTTGTCCGATTAGGGCACGTGAGCTCCAGCTGATATTTGCGAACAATGGGAATGAATTCAACCGCTCGCTTCAGCAGACACTCCTGGGGAAGGAACTCGTGACGAACCCAACGGTCCATGACAAACAAAAGGTCCGGCCCCAGTTGCATGAAACGCAGCAAAGTCAGGGCTAGGAAAATGCACCTATCCCTCCCTTAACTCAACATCTTGCTCAAGTTAGTGTAAACCGTGGTTTAGGGGTGGGGTAGGTGGGTCAGTTCCTCACTTCTCTCTAAAGCCAGTTGTTAGTTTTGATGAAACTAAAACCTGGAAACAACTCAGTAACATTGAGAGGCCAAGTACTTTACCTCTGCTAACTTAACCAGACGATCTTGCTCTTTCTCATTCTCAGCAATTTTCCGCTCGAATTTCCTCCGCTCTTTTTCATGATGATTCTTTCTCATTCTTTCCTGGTCCATAATTAGATTTAATGATGTCAGCTCCTCCTGAACAAAAACAAATACATTTTTATTAAGACATCAATTCTAAAGACTCCTTGTGTAATCATAGAAACCCATAAACGACAGCAAAAAATGAGATATTAGAACCTATCATGCTACATGTATTCTATTAACACGGACATTTCACAGGTTCTCATCGACTGCAGTACTTTTTTGAGTTCGCTTCACCAGCATAATGAAAGTACCCGAAGGAGTTTCACGCGTACTTATAAATGTAGATATAGCTCTCAGACACCAAAAAAAAAATGAGAGAAAAAGAAAAGATTACCTTAAGGGAATCTGCTTTCTCGAATACGACGGACACTTTCTGTGTGTGCTGGGTATTTATCTCTTGTTGTTTTTGAAAAGCTGTAGAAGCCTGAGCCAGTTCTTCTTCTGCAGTTTGGCTCTGAAAGAAAGCGCAATCATTAAGTCATAAACATACCACTACAAACTTAATTCTTAGATTATGAAAGTTGTTTTTAAATACCTTCACGAGGCAGCTGAGAATAAAGAAGATCCATTCAGAAAGAGTGCAGGTGCAAAGAAGTAAGTTCACAAGCGAGACTTGGTTCTGGAATTTTATGTTCAAGCGTAAACATGAATAAGGGCCATTGATAACTACTCAATTTGCTCATAGATAAATTTTTATGTTTTGGTCTTTTGGTTATGGAGAAGTTAGCATTACAAGATAAGCCCAACAGATACATGTACGCCTATTTTTATACCTGCTGAGTACAGTCCTCAAGCCGCTGAGCATACAACTCCAAGTCAGTTTCCTAAAAACATTAAAAAAAGAATTAAATACCACACAGCGTAATACTTATGAGTACGAATAGATAAAAAGAAATGTATCGAACGATCATTAAATGAAACATGTCTGTCATTTAAATGCTACGAAGTGACTAGGAGTACTACTGTTTTTCTGTCTTCTTTCTTGAACAGACTAGGAGTGTGACCCGGTCCACGGGACCACAGGATCAATGGTTGATGAAATAAAGCTGCTGTCGATGGATATGCTGTGGTTCAATTTTATCCTTGGTTTAAATTTTATTTCGCGTTGTTCTTGGGTATGGTAGCGTATGATAATGAGTTTAAAAAAGGGAAATAAAATTTAAACCAAGGATAAAATTGAATCACAAGAGATACAAGCCCGCTCTGTTTTGGGTTATATCAGTGTTGCGTCTATGTCTTGCAAAGTTACTTTTAATGTATTTCGATTAGCTTTACAGATTTCAATGTGTGTAAATGGTTGATGCTGGTTTATCTACTGTGAATGTGGAGTGCCGAGCTTGGGGTATCAATTTCTTCCTTCAGGCTGAGATATTACTCCAACTTTAGGTTAATTAATGCATTTTCTTTGTCTCAGTTGGTGGCGCAATCGTTTATCTAAGAAAACAACATGACGAGAAAGTTCTGGAAAGTAAATTTAGCCACGCATTAGGAATCTGTAGCCAAGCCTCAAAGCGTTAAGGTGTATATCAAGGTTTGAAATCCTACTCAGAAATAATTGAAGAAACTCACAATTATATTTTCAGTAAGATTTCTTGGCTGCCTCTTGGCATAACTTGTGATGTTACTTAAACTGTTAGAATGACAAGAGAACTTAAGCGTGCCTTTTCTGAACCGATAGTAAGGAGTTTTAATTACCGTAAAGTTCTACGTACCAAAACTGAGATGTCGGGCGAAACCTCTTCTTCAAAGCTTTCCTTCAGCTCACTAATTTCCTGGCATGCCCAGTAAAATAAATGGATAAATAAGTAAGTTAATACAAAAAACAAACAATTAATCAGTAACGTTTTGGTGGTAGTACCTAGAAAACTGGCTCCTCCTCTACCACTCCAGATCAAATTAGAAATAGAAAATGTTGGAAACCGGGGTAGCTGAAACAGGTGGGAAACCTTTCTAAGCTACTGCTTCCATTTGGCATTTTGCATGACCTACGGTAAGTACCATATAGACACATACAATGACACATTGCGTATTAAAATAGTGTTCTGTGCAATACTAAAGAAAAAAACACCAAAAAAACTTGCAATTTTTTAAACCCTAAATAGGTGTATTTGAGAGAACAGAACTTCAAAAGGCTGCGGCTAGGCAATGATAGGAAGAGCCATGGTCTAAAAAAACCTCACGTTTGTTCCTTTAAGATTACTAGACATCCTTCTTGCAGATTTATTTTAACAAACCCCATGCACGTCAGGTATACTTGGACGTGCTCTGTCTCATTTTCTAACTAACAGAACTTTAAAAGGTTGCAGCTACCCAATGATAAGAAGAGCCGTGGGATAAAAAAATCACTTTCGTTCCTTGAAGATTACTTTACATCCTCCTTGCAGACTCATTTTAAACCAAAAAAAAAACCCATGCACCTCATTACTACTATTACTCACTATCTCCTGACGCATTTAGGAAATTTCCAAGCCAGTGCTTCCATTTTTTGTGACCAGGAGATCATAATAGAACAGAGAGGGAGTCTCCCAGTCATGCCTTTGGGATATCTTTATTTCAAAACAGTTTTGTTTAGAAACTATGCAGACATGCGGAGACAGTTTCCGGTAAACTGATTGACTTCCGGTAGACTCGCTTTCATGATTCAATGCATTAAAGTGAGGCGAAGTCCACAAATGAAAATATGGCAGCTTTAGCGGAGGCATTTCTTGGTGTGACTTAAGATAAATATCAAGGCGCAAATCCAAAAAGACACCAATTCTTTGCAAACTCATCACTCTAGTCAACGCACATAAACTCCCTTTAGGAAGTTGTAAAGCCCACGCAAAGTTTTCAACTTAGGCTTTATTGTACAAAAACAAAAACATCAATCAGCAAAGCGGGAAAATTGCAGAGCACAACACATAACAGCACAAACCACTTGAAGACTTGCTATGGAGGTCTGCAGTTTCTTTTTCGCCTTGTTGCTTTCTTGCAACTCATTCTGAAAGTAAAGCAAAATATTGTAAGTTCGGTACTTAACCCATTCACCCCTGAACCGCCCATAACCGCCCGTGCGGATCCAGGTCCTTTCTACCCTTTGTGACGTCATCAGTTTTAACGGTCAAGGAAAACTTTCTTCGCTAACTTGTGTAGAGTGAAGAGATCTTTCAAACCATACCAGAATGAGCACAATTCAGTCAAGGACACCGGAGAAAGAAGCAAAAAACCACGTGACAAGGACCTGAAAATCTCCATGAAAATCTTGTTCCATTACCCACCTACCTTTCCTTTCACCTAATCCTAAGATCCTAAAAGCTTTCCTAAAAACTCTTCCCACCAAAATGAAGCCTACTAAATGCCCAGCAAGAGAAAAAAAAATGAGGCAAGAAAAGCGAAAAAAGAAGGGAGGATAGAAAGCGAAAAGTAAAAGTCAAGACTGCTGTGTCACTTTTAAACCCAAAAACTCGAAATTTTGCTTTCTGCGCATGCCCCAACTTCGCAAGCTGATATTTTGCATCTGGATCAGAAGGCCGCCAAGTGTACGACCGGTAAACCGGTTTGTGGTAAGTTTTAGCTCTTTATAGTACGACAGTGACCAGAAAACCACTCGACTAGCTTCAAAACGCGTTTTTCGGCAAAATCTCCAGGAGCGAATGGGTTAAGCAGTTTTCAAGTAATGCAATAATCAGCTAGTCGTTATCTGCCAGCAACGTAACATCATGACTAATCAAGGTACTCACAATCTTTTGTTTGAGTGTTTTCTCTAGTGATTTCCAACGATCCACGAGACATTCAAGTTCAGTTCTGCTTTCAGATATTTCTTCATTTATCGTCCTGACATGGAATGTAGAGACTTAATGAATGAACAAATCAGCAAAGGATTTATAAATTATCATTGTGAATTAAATAATACTAAATTTAACACAAAGCGCAAGTGGCAGGGCACAGTGGCGAGGCCAATAACTGCTTTCTCTTACCCTGTATCTGAACCTGGAATGTGCAACTCTTTCCACTACCATTGCTTTGCCGCCTTAAAACGCTTTAAAACATGTTGTTTACCATGTTATTAACGCATTATTTAACGATTTTATTTTTAACTCCGTATTCCCCAAGGGTTTTCGTCCAGATCTTTTGAGCGTTCATAAATGCATGCAAACCAGGGGGGAAGGCAGACGAGGTCTGGGAAAAACGATGTTCTCACAACTTGCAAAGCGGTCACCTTGCGTGGTGGTCAGCGGATATTCGCAGTGTATTTTTCACAAAGTAAATATTTCAGAGGCAAGAGGCGAACCAGCAGAGGAAATAATTCAATAATTGAAAAAATAACATCATGCATCGCATTGCAAGTTGTGAGATCATCGCTTTGATTTCATTTAAGAGAATGTATGGGAAGTGGCTTTCCCCCGCCCGGACGCAAGCTTCACCATCGGAATTGCTAAAATCACCCTCTTCGTCATCATTATTTTTTAAATCCATTATTATTCCTAGTCCTTACCGTATATCATCTTGAGGGTTGGAGGAGAAATAGTTTCTTGGTTCTCTCACAGAGGCAATGCTTTTAGCACAACGTCCACCAATGATATGATCACCACCTAAAGCAAACGCCTACAAAATACAAGGGCCATCAGTTCAGTAAACCATTCTCTTTCTTTTTTGTTTTTGCGTATACTAGCAACGCGCGTGAAAAGGAGAAAAGGTTATTTTTAAAACTATTTTTTTGTACAAACATCACGCGGTAAATTTGACTTTCTGTAACAGTCATCAAATTTCTCTTACTAGTGAGCCAACCACAAACACAAAACAACGAACACCCCTTCAATCATCCTTTAGTTTTAAAACTCGGTTGCGCATTATATTATATTTAGGAATGAAAAAAATCATTTAAAATTTGTATTGCACTTGCCTCGCGAATTAGTGTTTAGTTTATCAGTGCAACTGTCGTACATGTAGTTTTTATTCATTTCCACGCACCTTTAGCTCATTTACCAGTACGATGGGAAATGTAATAAGAAATATTCCTTAATGTATGGAACACAAGAAAATGTCAAAATAACTTAAACCAAAAGGCTCCAAAATATGGCGCAGAATTGTATTCGAAGAGGTGTGTCCACTCCTTAAATTCGTGAACGTGATATTACAGCAGTGGAATTTCCTTGCGCGTCTGAGCCATTGCAAGCAAAACATTTCTTCGCGTGTTTATCGCCGGTGACATTTCGCGCAATTTCACATGGAAATTTAACTGGCAAAAATGACGCCCAAGATAGGCTCGCTCGTAGCTCACAAATTTCACGTTATTTTTCACCTTACGTTTCTTACACAACATGTTCATGCGCATCCATAGCGGGGCATATGCTTGAAGCAAAAATGTGCAGGGGTTCCACAAAATTTAGAGTAGAAGAATTTTTTTATAGATTATAGAAAATAAGATCCTGTTTCATAAAGAAATTTACACTGTCACAGAGATGCCAACCTCTGGATATCTAAAAGCTGGAGACTCCCTCTTTTTCACTACCCCCTCCCCTCCTCCTCTCAGGAAATTCAATGAGCCCTGCCCCCTCCCCACCCTGACAAATATGGGAATGACAAAGGACATTATATGAGGTCTTACATGAAGTACATACTATCAAAATTTGTGATCACCATTTTCATGCCAGAAATAACCTTTGTCAATGACTAATTAGGTGCCAAAATGCCCCAGAAATCGTACTATGAATAAGAAAAATTCAAGTTTTGAGCTAAAAATGGGCTAAATCTCAACCTAAGGCACAGAAAAGCTCAAAAGATGATTTTATCCACGAGATATGGTGACCCGTACGGGAGACCGGGAGATTGGTGTCATATCCGGGAGAGTTGGCGTGTATGTTGTTAGCTTTGTGCAAAGTTTTAACACTTTATATCCAAACAGTGACCAGAAAACGACTCAACTAGCTTCAAAACGGCAAAATTCCTAGGAGCAAATGAGTTAAGGTTCCGACTGTCCAAAAATTTCCTTGCACTTACTCTCCAAAAAACAGCACAGCAGTCACAGAAACACAGATGGCAATCACAGGACTAGAAATCCTGTCCATGAAGATTGGCATGGATTCCACAGCTGCAGCATTTGCCAACAATAGAGTCACCAGGAGTAAGTGGTGTTTTTCTACCAGTGGCAATATTTTGGTTGCATGTCTCTTCTCCAAAGGCTTCCCTCCTCTTTGAAGAACTTTCAAACTTAGTATGTCCAGCGATAACAGGCCCATGGTCAACCCTGACATTAAACCTACGAGTGTGAAGTAATTCACTTATTAAATGTATATTTAATAAGTGCTTGTGCTTTGTGACCCCTTGATTACCCTGCGCGCAGAGGCTAACTTTTCGCAAAATTTACTGGTGTGCAGAAAGTTATAGCATCTAACACCAACTACCAATTCCTGTCCAAGGCTTCAAATAACAGCCGGTCAATGAATAATGTCCAGTCAAAAAAAGGCTTTGTCCGGTCAAATCCTTGAATGGCCGGACATTTTGTCCCCTCTTTTACAGTTCTAATGTAATTCAGACCTTCACTTTTTTTAAATACGATTGGTCAAGATTGGACAATATTAACGTTTGTGAAGGAAAAAAAGTGGGGGGAGAGAGACAAAAAAAGGCAGCCGGATCAAAAACTTTTATTATGTAAACCATTCATAACACAAGGCCTCTGATAGGTTGCGGCAAAAAAGTCAAATTTCATGGGATTTTCAGAGACAAATTCACTGAAAAAAATGGCCGATGTCACGGAAATTTCGTGCAAAAATTCAGGTCAAATTTCACTGAACAATGATCGTTAAAAAAAAGCCAATTTTGCGACAAACTTCACTAGAAAGCGATAGGTTTTGCGCTGATT